AGGTATCCAGACCATTTCATCTCAATGTACCTTTAACTTTGTCAGCGTTTACATTTCAAGGTTTAAATCACTCAATCAACCACTAGAAGCGATTCTGACGAAATAACAGAGTAAAACTATGCTATTTCAATCTGATGTCTCAGAGACCATCCTATTGGTGTAGTGTGGTGTTTATCATGAATGTTGACTAGCCTTTTGCTTAGATCATCAATTCCAATGATCTTAGTCAAGGAGCCGGGGCCAACTGCGGTCAGAGCAGCACAGCATAGGAGAAAAGGCAAACTAACATAATTTTAACTCCTAACAAGGGGAAGGGGCACTAAACATTTTACAGGGCACTATATAGCTCTAGGAATACACATTTCTATTCCTAGCACTATTATGTTCCTTTAAAAGGTAGCGGTAAAACCTGGACATGTCTTTCATTTCTGGTCAGAAATATCTATAGACAGTTAGAAATAACTACAGCCTATAGCTGATATTTAGCAAACATATCGGAAACAAGGTCTTGGTGTTTTTTACAGTATTTTATTTACTTTAGCATAAGATAATATGCACCAAAGCAGATATTAATTGAAGACAATGTAAAATAGATTTAACCCCAGTCTTAATACTATGTCCAGATAGGAAGGTGGACGCTGGTATTTCATTTACATTTTACCATTTGTTTTGTTTTATTCCATAACATATGATGCTGCTGGTCGAATTATCATAAACCGACAACTAATCTGTCCAATTATCTGTGGATTCTTTTATCTCTCTAAAGTTTCCTTCATAAAATTGAATAATTTTATTTTTATTCACTGCAGTTAAATTCTCCACAGGTAGAGTTAGCATTTTAATGTTACGCTTATATGCCTGAATTCAAACAAGCACAAACTGTAACAGTAACAAAGGGAGCTTTTAAAGCGTTATATCAAAAGCTTGAAGCTATCTTCAAATCACTTAACTTAGTTATTGAGAGGAAGAGGCGGATTTCACTACAGCCACATTATGCAGTTCCCCAAGGAGTTAGTTACTAAACAGATATGGCTGATTTGGAAATGCCGTTCCTACAACTAAATGTAATTCAGTGAAATACAGTTATTACATAGTTTGACAATAAATATTATTCACCGCTATTTAGCGTTTAAAAAAATAAAACTATATAGGTGTAGTTTAAGCACCATACTGAATATTGGCGTCATTTACAATAACACTGAGTGTTCCAGGGTCCCGAATCCTTCTGGTCTTCGGTGATTCAGGTGATCTCCACTTTAGCAATATTAGTTTTGTCCATGTTTAGGCATCATTCATTGGCTAGGAGTGGCAACTGACAGCCAGTAAACAATGTCCAAATTAAGCAGTGTTATAGGTGCAGTCTACGCATTATAAACAACACATATGATTCTAGATGTTATGGTGCTAGGAGAATGCAAATGCCATCTCCCAGTGCTAGGTCAAACTGTTTTTGAGTGAGTTGGGACTTCCAAGGCACCCACAGCTTGACTCCTTGCACCATATTAATAATTTGGAAGTTATCCTTTTGTATTAGCAATAATTATTTGAATGGCAGTGATAGACTAAGCAGGTCAACATAGGAGCTCAGCCTACAACACCAGGTGCTAATTATTTATGTTTTTACTTTACACTTTTCTCTATTTCTTTGACTATGACACCAACACCTTGAGTCTTTGAAATAAAATTAACAAATGCTCCTGTACTCCACCCCTACTGGTGTCATATTCAACAAGCTCATCGTTAATTATAGTTGCAACTTCATTCTTCCCTTGCATCCTAATCTTATGTTCCCTCTCATTTCATTCAATTTTCTCTCTCTTTTTATTTGCCATTTTATCCCCCCCCCCTTCTATTTTTACTTGTCATTTACTATTCTATATATCTATTCATCCTTGTACTATCACTCTCTTTTCTCTGATATAGTTACATAGTTACATAGTTACATAGCTGAAAAGAGACTTGCGTCCATCAAGTTCAGCCTACCTCACATTTGTTTTTTGCTGTTGATCCAAAAGAAGGCAAAAAAACCCAGTTTGAAGCACAATTTTGCAACAAGCTAGGAAAAAAATTCCTTCTTGACCCCGGAATGGCAGTCAGATTTATCCTTGGATCAAGCAGTTATTACCCTACATTGAAAGATTATATCCTTGAATGTTCTGTTCTTGCAAGTATGCATCTAGTAGCCGTTTGAACATCTGTATGGACTCTGATAAAACCACTTCTTCAGGCAGAGAATTCCACATCCTGATTGTTCTTACAGTAAAAAAACCTTTCCTTTGCCTTAGACGAAATCTTCTTTCTTCCAGTCTAAATGCATGGCCTCGTGTCCTATGTAAGGTCCGGTTTGTGAATAGATTTCCACACAATGGTTTGTATTGGCCCCGAATGATATGTTTTTTCTGTTGCAAAGAAAGTTTGCTTAAAACACCACCACTGTTGAAGGATAATTAAGTTTACCCAATTACGGTTGTGTTGCACTATATTACAAATGTCTACAATGTCAGGTGAAGTACTTGTGTTGGAGAAAAGGTCAGTACTTTACAAAAGGCAATGTCACCTACCGAAACCAACGTACCTTTCACAGGTCATTTACAACTAGGTATGGCAAGGGTGTTCTTTTGAATCAGGGATAATGAGATGAGTGCTGGGCTGCCATCAGGTTAAAAGTTGCACAACATAATTTGATTGGTTGATTCAAGGTTTGGGTAGCTCAAGAAAAATGTGAGGACTCCTTGTCCCATACTAACCAAGTGGACCACACAAAAGGTTGCATATTTTACTTAATCTAATGTAAGTGTAAGGTGGCATATGGCATTATGTTGTAATTAACACAGGGTGCATTGATACAATTGTAATTGTAGCAGAAGATAAAGACTCAAAGTGACAAGTTTATTTAGGGATATGAGGGAAAAGATATGAAGTTATGACGATATACATATGGCAGTTGATAATAAGGTTTGTGGGCACTATTGGTGATAGAAAGACTGCACTTTCCAAAGACATTTATAAAATATTTTACCAGGAAGGATATATTGAGATTTCTCTCATTCTCAAGGATGTCCTGGGCCCAGAAACATTCTATTTTTGCAAGAGGGTACAATATAATATTACAATACACATATATAAATTTAACACATAATAGGTAAGAAATATAATAAACCATGATTATAGGTGCATTCTGTATTGAGATTTGCTGACAGATATTTTAAAGGATTTTAGACTGGAGGAAGATTTAATTGTGTCCTGAAGGCTATTCCATAATTGCATTGCTCTGTAGGAAAATGAGGATTGAGACACTTTCTTTTTGTATTGAGGTGGACTAAATAAAGTGCTGGTACTGGATCAGATGTTATAGGAGGTGGGAACAGTCAGGGAGAGCATTCTGCTCAGGTAGGGAGGGAGCTTCCCAGAAAAGCTCTTCAACACAAGGCTGGAAAGATGAAGGGTGCGTCTGGATTCCAGCGACAGCCAGTTTAGTTCTTTTAACATGTCACAATGGTAGGTCCTGTAATTACATTGTAGCACAAATCGGCAGAACGAGTTATACAATGTATTGAGTTTATTAAGGTGAGTTTGCGGTGCAGATGCATCAGCATTTGCTGTACAATCTTTTCCTTTACTGTAGGGCTTAGGCAGGATTTGTCTCTGTACAGGGCACCTAGTTTTGGATAAAGTTTAGATGCAAGCTTTTCTATGTGGAGGCCAAAAGATAGATTGGGGTCTAACATCATACCCAAGTATTTGAAAGAGTGGACTGCGGTCAGTGTGCCATTTGATTTTGTTTTGATCGATAGGTGGGAATTGTGTAATTTAGGTAATGTTCCAAAGATCATTGCGACAGTTTTGTCAGTGTTTAGGAAGAGTTTGTTTTTTGTGATCCACTTTTCTACCTCTGTAAACTGGTCTTGGAGCACAGCCTCAAGCTGCATGACTGGCATTAGCATTTCTTGTACAATTTGTTTTCTTACCACGAGGCTTAGGCAGGATTTGTTTCTGTTCAGGGAACCTAGATTTGGATAAAGTTTTGATGAGAGGTTTTTTTTTATGTTGAGGCCTAAAGATAGATTGGGGTCTAGCAACATACCTAGATATTTGCAGTTAGTCTACTATTTGATTTTGTTCTGATGCATAGATGGAATTTTGTCATTTATGTAATTTAGGTACTGTTCCAAAGATCATTCTGACAGTTTTGTCAGTGAAAAGTTATCTGTGATCCACTTTATACCTCTGTGAACTGGTCTTGGAGCACAGCCTCAAGCTGCGCTAGTTTGAGTTTGCTATTGTAGGTTATGGTGTCATCTGCGTACATATCTACAGTTGAGTCTTTTTTGTGTACTACAGTGAAGACTTGCACTATCACTGTTAGAAGTCAGAACACCTGCTTTGTCCCACACACAGATAATGTTACTTTGTGAACTTACTAACACATTGATTAGCTACACTAATCGTGATAGGAGCAGGGGTAGATATTTAGCCCACACCCCATCACAAATGAGGTTTACAAAATGGTAATATCGTACATGACCACCTAATTATTAATGGAATATAAGTCTTGTGCTCATGGTGATATTAATCCACACCCCTGATTAACTAATTTAATCTATTAATTTAAGAAGGATTAAGTTGGTTTAATACTGTATTTTTCCTTACAAACGGCTATAAGTCAGTATGCATAGAATGATCTGGAGTCAAGAGATCATAGTCAAATTGAAAAGTATTTTACAGCCAAATGTGAATGCAAATTATAAACCACTGAATTTGCTATCCTGATAACTTGTGATGCTGAGACATGGTAGTACTGGTGGCAATCTTTACATTGCAGGACAATAATAATTGCATAGTAAATTGACTCATGCTTTTTTGAAACCCACCAGTGTCAGATGGAGTATACAGAGTACTGGCTATTTATGGGTTCAAAGGCAAACCTGCTGTCCTGATTTCTAACCCTAGTAATACTTTCACTGGAAATACCAACTTCATTGCTGGAAATAAAGTGTGATGTAATTTTCTGTAAAAGGACACAGTCGTTAATTTAGTCCTTCTACTTCCATACAGGTGAGATGATGGGTTAATGTATTATACCTTACTTGAAACAGGGTCCTGAGCCAAAATAAGCAAATAAATAAAAACACATTCATACACTCCATAGCACTTCACTTAAAATAAACAGGTTTTTTTACTATAGCCACACAAATTCCTAATTTCATGTTTGGTCTGTACATGTCAGAGGGACTATCTTAAAATGGAGACAAGACAGGTGTATCCATTAAATTCTGATATTTCAAATCGAGACATAGCCCTGATAAGTATTATAATCCACTGTAGAGCATGTATTTAAAATTAATATTCCAAACAATACATTACAAATAGGTAAAGAGATACTCACATGGGAGGTCCCTGTATTTGCTGCAATTTGATGTAAATCACCAAACCAGGAAACATCTGGTGCTGAGTGTATTTTAGAAGCAGTGTTTTATGGGCATTGGTGATGTTTCTGGGAGTTGTAGTTCAATGACAATCTTTCTACTGTAGAAAGCAAAGCGTTTGACTCCCAAAAACCAAAGATATCCACATGCAAAACAAATTATTATTATTATAAAAAAAATTTTAACAATAGAATATGAATAAAAACCCTCCCAGCAGGACTAACTGTAAGGTAAAATAGAAATTTGTGTGTAAGACTTCAAACCCGATCTCCTCCCTCCCCTAGCAAACCACCCCAGCTACTGTATGTTGGGAAACAAATGAGTTCAGACATGTCAATTCAAGTGAAAAAAAATGGTGTCAGCAATCAGGGATTTGGTGTTCCAGTTTGGACGAATTTCATCCATGAGATATTTTTTGGGAAAATGGTTTGGATGAACCAAAAGGACACGAAAATGAGCCAATCAGTATACTGCAAAATTCATCCATAATATAACTATTATTTATGTATTTAGCACTACGCCAAAAGAGCATGCAAATAGGCCAGTCAGTGTACTGCACAATATATACATAATATCTATACAACATAACCTTTTGGTTCATCCAAATAGTTTTTCCTGAAATGATCTCGTGGGCGAAATTCGTCTGAAATAAAATCCTCGTGGGCGAATTTTGTAAATAATTTTTTTTTATTTGGCTGAACCAAATTTGTTCGCTGTGCACAACTCTCATTTGAAGTATGTCACTTGGTTTTTACCCTTTGAGTGACAGAATTAAATAAGCAATACATTATATCTATTCATTTGCAAAGGGTTATGTACAAAAAAAGCTAAATCCTTCATTCTTCTGTATAAGGGAAATGCCTTACCAGATATACACACAAGGAGACAAGCTGAATGAACACTTTACAAACATTTATATTTCAATGTTAAGAAAGGAGTCAAGGAAATGGACAATGATCTTTACACAGGATATCATTTCAGACAAGGGAAGGGTGTCACATAATACGGGGGTACAAAATAGAAAGGAGGGGGGCACAAAATACAAATGACAGACAGGCTTTCTGAACGAGACAAAGACAAAGCTAAATACACATATGTTAGGGTGAAACATCATATTTCTTTTTTTTTTTTGTATTATACAACCTTTTGTGCATACGACAAGTTTCATTATAAATCGCAATCTGCAAATCATAACGTACTACAGGCAGCATGCAGGAAAAAGTAGTTTATTTTTTTGTCCCCATTATACAACAGTCTTACCAACAGGTTTAAATAAACAATGGGTTTTAGTCCAAGACGATATTACATCCATTCCGTTTTAATTAGTTCAGTATATTAAAGTGATTTCTTCTATTTGAGCAATAGCAAAATGCACAGTGATAGTTAAATGTGGTTCTTCAGACACACAAATCAATTTTCAATTTGCATTTATGTCTCACGCAATATCTGTGCTAGCTGGCTTTCAGAAGATCTGTTAGAGAATTTCACGGAACGAATTTTAACGCTGAGATTTCACCATGGCTACTGAAGTCAATATAGGTTTTTGAAATACATCATGGCAACATTTCCATTTCTGGTCAAAGATAAAAGGAACCTCTTGAATATAACATTCTTCAAACATAGAATATACATCTTGTATATATGTTTTTTTTGCTGGTTTCTTCTTTCGCCAGTAACATTTTAAATCACTCGCCTAATCTGGCTGTTGAAATTTTAACAGTACTAAAATTATTCTATGGCAAACAACTATTTTGACCACAAAGAAAAATGTAACGTTACTCTTTTTTTTTTTTGCATTGATAACCATTAGTTTACATTAAATAGATTATTTTGGCAGTATAGAACTTCCTATATATATAATAGCTAAATGTATCTATATTTATAAGCAAAACACATATCTTATCTGGACAAGGATATTACATTTTTGGACATTTAATACACTTTCCCATTGTAAACAAACAGTAAGCAATTGCTATCTCAAAACACATACAAAATGCACGTCGTTATAAATTCTAAATTTCCATTCTGCAAACACTGTCATAATTTTTTATAGATACAAAATTCCCAAACGTTCGGCCTTTTCATAAATTCCTAATCCCATATCAGCACACATCTTGATAAATATGGTTCCAGATTTGTATTAATTTACACTATTAATATCAACATTAATGTTATTTGCCAGCAAATCAATTTATATCAAAACTTTTAAAGGACAAGCCCAGTTGATATGTATAACTGGATCTAGTTCTGGATTCTATTCTCAGAGATAACATCATGTCTAGTTATTGATTACATTAGACTTGAACAAAACTTCAATTACTATGCATCCTGTTATCTGGTCGTAGAATCCAACAACGCCATTTTATTTATAAAAGTGAAACAATCACCATTTAAATCAATGGAATGTTGCTACTGATTGCCCTTATTTCATACAGTAGCCTCAAAAAATCTCTATACGAATAACCACCCATACTTTTATATGGTATTATAGTTTCTTAAACATTAGGAAAACCAGTAAATATATGTGCATTTATTATATGTGCCAGGTATTTCTTTATATGAACGGCACTCATGCAGTTAGGATTTTCTGTACCATCCCTATTCACAAAATATCAAACTACAGTGAACTGGGAAACAAATTAACTTAACCACTTAAGAACACAGCTTCAGAAGGCAAATGCCAGCATCACGGAAAATTTCCGTCATGTGTCCTTTAGGGGATAATTTAGCATAAAATAATCAAGCTGTGACAATAGCTGAGATGGATAATTTTTAAAAAACTATTTCAGCCTGAATTTTGCAACTTTCAGAGTTATTTACTAACATGAGAATTCAGAGTGAATTTCAAATTTAAGGCCAAAGTATCCGAACTGGAAGCATAGCTGACATTGTTATTGAAGCCTTAAATCTGAATATTCCATTGAATTCACTTTGAATTCCCAAAAAATTCTCACCTTAAACAATGGCACTTTTGGCTTTGAATTCACTATAATTTGGTGTGTTGTGAATAAACTCCTTTGCGTTTGATGGCACATTTTTCAAGTCGCTATTACCATGATGCATATAGATAATGAGTCTAAAAAATTTAATTAATAGGCATCATGTAGATAGAAATTAGTTGTTAGGAATAAAAATATTTAATTAACTTAAACAAATTATAATCATTTTACAATAATTTGGTTAAAGCAGAAATATATCCTTAACTAGAGTTATTAAAAATTATTTAGCTTTTTGTAGAAAAATAATGACCTTCATGAATAATCTCAGTACCGCAAGTTGTTTTGTTAATTGTATTACATTTCATGCTGATAACTGTTACCTGTTGCCATTTCAAAGAATTGAGCAACAAGTAAGATTCGATAAATTGCAAGCTGCTAAGAAAGTGGGGGATATTTATCAATGTGTTCTGATAAAGGACAGTTAAAGGGACAGTATAGGCACCCAGACTACCTAATCTTATTGAGGTAAGCTGGGTTCCACTGTCCCTGTCCCCTCAACCCTGCAGCTGAAAACATTGCAGTTTCAGAGAAACTGCAATGTTTTCATTGCAGGGTTAAGATTGCCTCTAGTGGCTGTCTACCAGACAGCCAATAGAGGCGCTGCCTGCTGTTTCAAGCAGTTTAACTCAGTGAAATGATGCTGGACAGCCTCACGCTTTGCATGAGAACGTCCAACGTCTTGCAAAACCTCAAAGAAGAGCATAGATTCAATATGTTTGTTAGGGTCCCCCTCACAATGACGTTGAAAGAGGTGGGAAAGAGCCAGTGCCGGGGGACCTTGGTGCTTAAAACAGGCAAGTGAGTTAAAGGGTTTTTAAACATTTTATATCCCCTTCATTGTTGGGGGGCCACGGGTGTAGAGGGACACTATAATGTTAGGAATACAGCTTACTATTCTTAACACTATAGTATTCCTTTACTTGTCATAAATATTTTGATTGTATATCTTTGAAGGGTTCTTAAAGTGATCGAAAAAGTGACAGTTTACTTTATAATAAAGTCTGCTGGTTTACACAGAAAGATTCATTTCAGTACAAGAAAAAAAGAGAAACGAAAAGGTAACTGAAAAAAACGATACTCCTGATGTGTTGCCAAAATATGGCAAATATCTAAAAATGGTAACAGACAAACAAGAAAGCAACAGGTCAAAAATGTCACTGACACTTGATAAATCTCCCCCATTGAATTAAGATTGTGTATGGTCTATTTATTACCAGGGTTATTGACTAAAGTTAGAACTCAAAGTGAATTTCAAATTTAAAGTCAAAATAGATCAAATGGAAATATTCTCTAATTCAGCTGTGCTTCCAAATGGGCTACTTTGACCTTAAATATGAAATTCAGTTTGAATTGCCACTTAGCGAATAAGCCCTGTGAATTGCAGTTAGCTGACAGATGGGATGAAACTAATTTTCATCTTTTAATATGATGGCTTCTATAAAGTTGCAATTGATTTCTTTAGGAACAAAAAGAGACTGACAGAGCCATTGTGGTTTCCTGGACAACGATCTATTATAATGGCATTGCAGTATGTTCATTGTGTGTACTATTTGTAAGAAATTAATTAATTGGTAAAGAATGAATCTAAAATTAGTTGCCATAGTTCGTTAGATAATTTCCATGTGCACTATGAAAATTCTACCTACTGATAGGCAGTACTTATGTGTACTGGCCATTAGAATAAAGATGTTATAGGCCTTCAGGAAACCTTAGTGGCTCTGTTAGCCCAACCTCTCTTAGCTGAGCTGCAATATATCTTGAAGAACAGGCACATGGTTATTTACTAACGTGTCAATTGTTGAGAATTCAAAGTAAATTCAAAGAGAACTTAAAATTTTGAGCTAAGATAGTCAAACCGAAAACAGCTGGTGTGGCCAAAATTCTGATATATTGGCATACAAATTTAATTCGCATTGACTTGACTTTAGTGAATAATCCAAACAATCTTATAGTTAACCAACTAGCGGGCATTGTACAAGACTCCGTCACATTAGAACGGCCAATTTCCGTGTGCTGGTTTTGATTATAACACAAACTATGTACATCACCAATGCTATACTATAAAATACTTAATATTTTTTTTCCCATAAATATTTTACATCTTTTTTTGCATAACTGATCCTATTAAACATTCCCTGGATTGTCTCGACACCTCTTTCAATAAACATATATCAGTGATGACTTCCTTTGGCACTGCAAATGTTCATGATCTGCATTTCTCGTGATGCCCAGCAAATCTAAACAAAATATCTGCAGTGCCATAGTTCGCCACTACTGGCATATATCAAGCTGAGTTCTGCTGAGTCCATAAGCATAAAATTATCAGCATTCTGTCAAAACACTGCTTTTAATTTAAAATCCTAACTCGGTGTTCCTATTAACTTTAATGGCTTTCTTGACTTTACACACAGTTCACAATCAGCTGATTGCTTAGATGGCAAGTGTTCAAATCACTTTAATGAATGCATATTAAGTGCTTTGAAAGAGAATTGCCAACACAACCGATAACCTGAGGATCATTGAACTATTTCAATAAATTCCACTATTCGTTCGATTTGAGGAAAAACATTTTTTGTCAACTTATAGTTGAGTTTCTTCCCAAGTATAATAATAATATTAACAATACTACTATTAAAATACAAATGTAAAATTAATAAAAAATCAAAGTATGGCTTTTGTTTATATTACCTAAAAACATTGAAACACGGAGGGTAGATTTGAGAAATTTCTTATAACACATTTTGTTGAGACATCTTGAAACATTAACAACAATTGTACTGTACGTACATCATATATACATGTTTCTGTTACCAAGAAAATAATTCTATATATGCTATACATAATTCTTGAAGGTCATGCAAAGGCATACAGACCTATCACGTACAAGGCTTTGATTTTCCAACTATCCCTGAAAAAATGAATATATTATTTTAATCTTTACATTTTTACTTTTGTATAATGGACGATATACACACTTGTCATGGAACATAGAAATGGCTCATTATATATACTACATACTAGACATTTAAATGATGGCCAAGGGAGCTGTCATTGAAATGAGTACATGTATATGTGAATGAGAACTGATTGCTAGGAAACAAGTCAATTCTGCATGAGACAAGGACAAACTAATAGATATGACAAAACTAAAGACAAAGGATCAGTCATTCGAATTCCTAGCTAACACAGTCACGCAATACTTTACTCAGAATCATGCATTACATTTGAACCTGGTAATTTTCAGAAGCAACTGGCAAAGGGTAACTCATTGGCACACCCTTTCAGTGGGGTGAAATGCATTTGGCAATCAGAATAAATAATACTTAATTTTTAATTTGAATTTACATTGGACTAATCATCAGTTCCTGCTGTATAGGAGGGTAAAAGAATAAAAGATACAATAATAAAAGATAAAAGAACAAAAGATAAAAGATAAAAGAATACAGCACTTGCCGTAATGCACGTTTACAATTCGGATATCTTGTAAGCAACTTTGCTAAGTGCTAAGTGTTTTATGGTATCATCCAATGTTTGTGCTTCTGTTTTAGTTTTTAGTTTTTTTCATAGCCCTGCTTAGAAGAGGGGTGTCCAAAGCAGGGGTGCCAAAAGGTAGATCCCCAGATGATCTAACACTACTACTTCCATGATGCTTTGTTATTCTAAATGCAGACTTTTATGTGTAAAAGAGTCATTATCAGACTCGAGCAGTTTAAATGGAGTCCAAGAGAAATGGGATTATTTAAAAGTTTCACTGCTGAACACAACAGAAAATTGTATTAGGCTTGTCAGTAAAGAAAAAAATTTAAGAAACCAATGTGGTACTCTGCAGATGTGGCCAAAATAGTAAGAAACTAAAAGTTAGCTTTTAGTAATTACAAATAAACCCAGAGTGAGGAAGATAGACAGATCTAAAGGTTAGGCAGAAAGAGGCTAAGCAAGTTATAAGAGCTTCCAAATCACACACAGAAGAGAAAATAGCACAGTCAGTAAAAAAAAAGGGGACAAAACATATTTAGATACATAAATAAGAAAAGAAAAGTAAAACAAGAATTAGTTGGATTAAAAACAAAAGAAGGAAGGTATGTAGAAAAGGTCTAGCTGACTGCCTCAATGAATATTTTTGTTCAGTGTTTACAGATGAAAATGAAGGAAAGAGGCCTCTGTTAGAAAAAAGGACAAAATAGTCATTTGTGAGTTTACAGAGGAAGAGGTTCTATTTCAACTGTCAAAAGTAAAGACAAATAAGTCAATGGGGCCTGATGGAATACACCCAAAGTTATTAAAAGAGCTTAGTGGTGTACTAGCAAAGCCATTAACAGACTTATTTAATCACTCATTGTTAACAGGAGTAGTCCTAGAAGATTGGACGTTAGCAAATATTGTGTCCATTAACAAGAAAGATAGTAGGGAGACGTTGGCTTCAGTAGTGGGGAAAGTAATGGAAACCATGTTAAAGAATAGGTTCATAGATTACAGGATAAAACTTACAAGGAAAGGTTAAAGTATCTTGACATTTATAGCTTGGAGGAAAGACGAGACAGGGGGGATATGATAGAAACATTTAAATACATAAAGGGAATCAACACAGTAAAGGATGAGACTATATTTAAAAGAAGAAAAACTACCACAACAAGAGGACATAGTCTTAAATTAGAGGGGGAAAGGTTTAAAAATAATATCAGGAAATATTACTTTACTGAGAGGGTAGTGGATGCATGGAATGGTCTTCCAGCTGAAGTGGTAAAGATTAACACCGTGTAGGAGTTTAAGCATGCATGTAATAGGCATAAGGTTATTCTAGCTATAAGATAAGGCCAGGGATTAATTAAAGTATTTTGAACATTGGGTAGACATTCTATGTTTCTATATATTCTAACGGCATGTAAAGCATTAGGGAGTTGTAGTTCTACAATGTCTGAGAATCTACCTTTTAACACCAGGATGGCCGAGTGGTTAAGGCGTTGGACTATAGCATAACTCCAGGATGGCCGAGTGGTTAAGGTGTTGGACTTAAGATCTGTGTGGGTTCAAACCCCACTCCTGGTACATGTTGTCCTCAAATGACACTGGTGGTTTCAACCATCCCAAATATTATTGATCTCCTTAAACTTGGAGAATGTTTATTACTAGTATCCTACTCAACTCATTTCAAATTCAGAAACAAACTGCTAATGCTATTTGCTGCAGACTAGATGGGCCGAATGGTTCTTATCTGCCGTCACATTCTATGTTTCTATATAAAGAATCTTCACATTCACAGAACAAGAGGACCAACATGAAGTTGAGAGGTTAGCAACATGTAATAAACTGAGTTACATCTGAAGTTTTGGTAGCTTGATAAAGTGTGGTGAGAATAAGACCACGTTTTACTGAACTTGCTTGTTTGGTCATATAATAGATATAATTCTTAATGTGCTTTTGTCTGCAGTATAAGTGGCTATATCTGACCTTACCACTACTTTACCTTTAACAATGTGATTTACAGCATCTCTTCCAGTCTGTTTGTTCAAGCAGAATTCACATAAATACATTTCATAGTTGTCCCATGGTTTGCTTTTTGCTTTTTATTTTATATTGTATATTATATATATAATAATAACAAAGTATTTAACCAGGAAATGTACATTCAGATTACTCTGGTAAATATATATATATATATATATATATACACATATGAAACTAGGGGGGGGGGGGAAGCCCCAGATGGAATTTTTTTTCCTCAAGTAAGTGGTTAATCTCATAAGAGCAGACATTAGGCTGTTAGTGTAGGACCTGCCAAAGATGGGGTACATTGACGTTGTGGCAGGCTTATGCAATGTATGATCATATAATGTAACTAAACCCCCATTAATTTTGCCTAGATTAGGTGTTTTTAAAAAAATTAATAAAATCTTTCAACATTGAAGTTGCTGTTTAGTGGATAGGTGAGTGCGCTGGATCTTGTGTTTTGTATTATTTGGCCCCCAGCAGCACCCCCATTTATGCATGTTCAGGTGAGTGCAGCCAACCCCCCTTGTTTCATATGTATATATTTGGGAGTCTAGCCAACTCCTTGGTTTTGCACCCCTCCCTGTCACAGGTGCCTCATCCCAGGGCCCTATTTAGCCTTGTACTGCAGAGAGCCCCAGATGGAATTTTTTTTCCTCAAGTAAGTGGTTAATCTCATAAGAGCAGACATTAGGCTGTTAGTGTAGGACCTGCCAAAGATGGGGTACATTGACGTTGTGGCAGGCTTATGCAATGTATGATCATATAATGTAACTAAACCCCCATTATTTTTGCCTAGATTAGGTGTTTTTAAAAAAACTAATAAAATCTTTCAACATTGAAGTTGCTGTTTAGTGGATAGGTGAGTGCGCTGGATCTTGTGTTTTGTGTTTTATATATATATGTGTGTGTGTGTGTATATGTATGGATATATATAGGGATCTATATGGGGATCTGGCCTGTGTGCACTTCTCTGTATTCTGTTTCTTAATAATTAAGTAATGGGCATCACAACTTATTAGTCAAAAATAGCCAAGTAGAAGAAATTATCCAGCTGAACTAGACTTATGCATGGCAAAAAACTTGGTTTGTCCAAATGGATTCGACCAAAGAAACATTTGGTTTTGGGCGAAGTGATTGATTCAGGAAAATACGATTCGGACAAAACAAAAGGGCATAAAATGTGCCTATTAGTGTACTGCAAAATGTATGCATAACATAAATATTATGTATGAATTTTGCAGTACACTGATAGGAGCTTTTTTTTTTACACAATTTGGTTCACAGATCAAGTGAGAATAAGCATATAATAAGAACGAGAATAAGCATTCTTATTATAAGCAGAGGGGAAAAAAATAAGGAGCAATGAACAAATGTATATTTAGATATTATATAGTTGCTAAATATTATTAGTATTACTGGCATTTATAGTGCTCCAACTTATTCCGCAGTGCTGTATAATAGTGAATAAGACAGTACAATATACACAGACCATGTTCCCCTCTTTTGTTCAATTCTCACTTGATCTGTCCCTTAACCATCAGTTATCTTTTTTTTCCTATCAATCATTTTTTTTGGTCTACATAGATGGAACCCCAGATGACAAAACAAAAGAAATGGTTTGTTAATTCCTTATTTTTTTGTTTTGTGAATCGGTCATATGGCAATTCAGATATACGGAATTTGGACGACTCGCCAATTGCCAAAGTTTGCAATTCCTTTAAAACACTATGCACAAGTCTAAACTCAACTATTATTCCAGCTTAGATACTTTCATACAAATTACAGTTTATTCAGTTAACTTTTTCCAGTGTAGACTTCCTAGTCTGAATTTTCCAAATCTTTTGTTGGTGAACTGTTTAATAAACTGCTACCAATTTCTGTATTCAAATTCATATTCCAGTGAAAAGCATCTTCAATCTCCCGGGGTCAATAAAAAACAAACAAAAAAAACATAGTTCATGATTAAACACAGGAAGATCTGTGCGTCTGGTGTGTGTTTTCGTTTGAAGACTCTGTATTCACTGCAAATTCACAAGGGCAGTATGTGGAGAAAGCAGATGGAATTAGCACTACAATCCATGTTCATTTTAATCTCCTCCTAAGGGATTAACTAAAAGCTCACTAACAACATTTAATTACATCTCCACATCTCTCTGATTGATATTCTGGCATGGCTTACTGGAACAAGTCTGGCCTATTGAGAAAGTAAAAGGACTGTATAGTGATGACAACATAAAGAAATCACTTTCTATCCTTACTTGTTTTAATTTAATGGTGTATTTTAACACTTAAAATGTAAGTTTTGAAATCTGCCAGGATTACCCTTACAGAGGCATTTTTTATGCTGTGAAACTCAAAATTATGCTGTTTTCTACTACACTTCAAAAGACTAAAATGAATCCCTATATATATATATGACTACTATGGACTTCACAAACAGGTGGTCAGATTTATTATGCTGATGACCTTCTACAATTTTTCATAGCTTTGGTGGGGCAGCCACATCTACTAATCATGTATGCTGACACTGCATTACTTACAAAGTGATACCTTGTTATAATTGCATGACAGGGATATATTGTAAGAACTAGTGTTTTGTTGTTGTTTTTTAAACATATCTTTGATTTTGGAACACTGAAACCACCATAACCACTACAGCTCACAGTAGCCTGGAGTGTCTTGGTCTCCTATTGTAAGGCATTAAACCATTTTAGATTGGTTTGTTTTTTTTACCTGGGGGTCTGCAGGACACCACTTCACTACTGATGCTGATGTAGGGCTAGTTATGACGTATATGTGAAAAATTCTACACCTTGGTTATCTTAGCCAGAATTTTGCAAACCAGGTTACAATTCCGTGTTTAGTGATTAAGACACATAATCTAAGAATGTGTTTTATTTCTATGAAAAATTCTCAAATACCTCTCAGGAGATTGACAATGCTGTGATTTGAAAAAAGTAATTGGATTAACTTGGAAGTAGGACAAACTACACATTTTTATCTTTCCTCGTCAAAAATTATTTTAAACATGAAGCTTTAGCATTAAATAGGTGGAGCGATTGATTAAAATGAGTCGTGGTTACTGAAGGGGCTTTTATCTGGCAAAGATAAAGGAAATAGAACGTTTAGTTGAATTTTGCATTTCTGTGGCTACATAATTGTGGTTACCCTAAATTTAATAATAGAATAAATGCATAGATCTATACAAAATCACGAAATAAAGGCAAAATATTGGAGATGTATTTCCTCTGTCCAAAAGCATGTAGGAATAATTTTAAATGGGATGTAGTATACTATATATAAATTATGTAAGCTAGAATAAAATAAAAATTTGGGAAATAAAATAAATTAAAATCATTATCACGCTATGGATTCTAAGCACTACATACTTGCAAACCGGGGTCAAAACATTGCATAGTGTAAAAAAACGTTCATTTTCAATAAATATTTAAGGTTTCTAAAATGTACATTTCTTTCCTGCTTTAGCAGACTTTGGCCTCAATGTAAAATTTTTGGAAACGTTTTTCAGTTGATTCAAATCTGTTAGAAAAACATTTTTCAGTTGATTCAAATCTGTTAGAAAAACTTTTCACTTTTTGTAATAGAATCGTTTGAAAATCATCCAAAAATATTCAAGGGAGGCATTGAAACTTTGTAATGTATTTTCTTACATGACTTACTGAAGTCACATCTTATCGCTCTGCATCACTAAGTCACACGCAGTAATAACTACTATTGTGGACATGATGTCACGGTTTCCGCATAAACAGAGACATGGTAAGTACATTGAAATTCCAGGATGAGTGATCAATGTGTATGGCTTGTTTGTTATTTTAAATAATCTATCATTTTCGCCTATAAGAAAACTGTACTCAGCCAGCCATCTAGATATTTACATCTGTCACAGTGGGTGTAAATTGGGTTCATGAAGAACATCACAAATTAGGTCACATCACCCTTGTGAATACAAGACATCTGCATGATTACAAACTAAATGATCTCATTGTAACACTACAAGAAAAATTTAAAGAAAAAAGGAATTCAGTTACATTGGGATTAACACAGTATATGTTTAGGATAATGATGTCTTACTCTGATATTAAAGAAATACTATGGCATTAGGAAGACAGACCGGTATTTCTAACACTGTAGTGTTCTCTTTATCTAGATTCAGCAGTATTTGTAATACTTGTAAAATTCCAACCAATGCTTCTACAAGCATCCATTAAAAATCATTATTTTATGATGGCTATTATTCAATTCAATATCATATTATGCTAAATGTATAGAATTATTTGTTATTTAATATTAAATCTATCTATCTATCTAGATTTATTTACTATACAATATTTTCTGTTGAGGGATTATTGGATTTATATTTCCACTGAAGTTTGTATTTTTCTACAGTAGAAAATTTGTTTAAATCTTTTACCCTTTTGGTATTTCACCATAATGTACATAAATTTACATGATTGGTAAATATCTGTGACATAGAAGAACATTAACAAAGACAAGGAGAGCTATCTGACAATTTATTCCATGAAATACATGTTTCAGACAGTATAATTTCTTAAAATGCTATCTACTGGCACGAGATTTAACACAAATCACTACCAGTAACTATAAATATTTCTTAATATAATATCTATAAAAAGCAAATCTCATCATGCAAGATAATTGTTTTCAGACTACAGCAACCAATGGTAAAGCATACTAATTTCTGATTATTATTTTTTTTTTCAAACAGGCAATATAACAGGATAAATTAACAAAATACCGTATATACTCGAGTATAAGTCGACCCGAATATAAGTCGAGACCTCTACTTTTACCCCAAAAAACTGGGAAAACTTATTGACTCAAGTATAAGACTAGGGTGGGAAATGCAGCAGCTATTGGTAAATTTCTAAATAAAATTAGATCCCCAAAAATTATATTAATTGAATATTTATTTACAGTGTGTGTATATAATGAATGCAGTGTGTGTGTATGAATGCAGTGTGTGTGTTTGAATGCAGTGTGTCTGTATGAGTGCAGTGTGTATGAATGCAGTGTGTGTGTGTATGAGTGCAGTGTGTGTATGAATGCAGTGTGTGTGTTTGAATGCAGTGTGTCTGTATGAATGCAGTGTGTGTGTGTATGAATGCAGTGTGTGTATGAATGCAGTGTGTGTGTGTGTGTGATGCAGAGTGTGTTTGTGTATGTGATGCAGAGCCTTGATGGGGGTGGGCATTTTTATTATTTTTCTTTTAATTATTATTATTTTAATATTTAATTTTTTTGTTATATTATTAATATTTTATTTTTATTTTATTTATTTTTTAATATTATTAATATTTTTATTTTAATATTATTAAATTTTTTATTTATATTTATTTTCGTCCCCCCCTCCCTGCTTGTTAGCTGGCCAGGGAGGGGGGGGGGCTCTCATTCCCTGGTGGTCCAGTGGTGTGCACTGTGTAGGAGGGGGGGGCTGGCAGCGAGCTGTAACTTACCTTTCCTGCAGCTCGTGTCAGCTCCCTTTTCTCTCCTCCGGTCCGGTGAGCTCCCCTGTCAGCTCCACTGCAAGTCTCGCGGTCTGAGTGCCGCGTGGAGAGTTGCAACGGTAACCCGTGGCAATGCTCTGACCCTGTGGCTCTCGCGAGACTTACAGTAGAGCTGACAGGGGAGCTGACCGGACCGGAGGAGAGAGAAGGGAGCTGACAGGAGCTGCAGGAAAGGTATGTAACAGCTTGCTGCCAGCCCCCAACAGGACCGCCGGGCTTGTAATGAGCCCGGCGGTCCTGGTCTGTATTATGGCAATGTAAGTTGCCATAATACAGATACTGACTCGAGTATAAGTCGAGTGGGGGTTTTTCAGCACAAAAAATGTGCTGAAAAACTCGACTTATACTCGAGTATATACGGTTAATGCACACCCATAAAGTACTTCATCTTGCTGAAATGCTTTATGAGTGAGAAGCATCCTATTTTAACCCCAGTTTATAAAAATACTGATTTCAGGCCGAAATCTGCACTTTTATAATTACATTATGGAATAACTCCTTGCTGTCAACTAGTCACCCCCATGGCTATCCATATACATTAAACAGTGACTTCTATTACTTTGGCCCAATTGGGCAGTGGAGTATCACTTTAAGTCCATAAAAAACATTCTAAAAGCTTGGCATTGTATTAACGGGGGATGTATTTTATAGCATCTGGAATGTCAAAGATTGCCTTTCCCTACATTGCAACATATTTCTTATCTGTAAATGTTTATATCTTACACTTATCAAGATTAGAATTTTGTTCCACCCATGACATCTACATTTTATTAAATGTATTCAGAATTTGTGGCTGACTACCCTTCAGCACACACTAAATGCAAGAGAGAATCCTCAAAATAACTTTGAGAGTTATTTGGTTTTCAGAGCAATGGAATTAAAAATAAGTGGTTAACTGCTGGGAAAGAATATACTTTAAATCATCAACAGACCGATCATTTAAACTTTTGTATCCGTCTTTGTAACTGATTGATACCACTTGAACTCTTGAAGGAATATTTAATTTGAAATTGGTTCCAGTTCCATGGAAGCAATTTAAGTTTAAAATGCCCAATACAAACAAACGCCAAAGCATTTACTAAGCTTTGAATGCCAAGGGATAAGAACAATTGATATGATAAAAAGTTAGCTGTGGCAGTAGAGAACCAGCTTGTAAAATGTAGGCCAAAATAGCCAAGTTGGTTCTTAATATATGCATTAACTCTGTCTATGCATTGACTAAAGTGCTGAACGAGTTAAGTATACAATTTCATGTAAAAAAAGAAAAAGGTTTTATAAGTAACCCTTTTCGCCACACATAATTTAAAAGTTATTTAACTTTATATATAATTACTAATTAGAATGCCGTCATCTTCCATCTACATGGTTAAAAGATTCTAACTTTAATTTACTAGGATCTTAAAAAAAAAATCTAAACTTAAATGCTGATAAGCAACATAGAAAAATACCTCATTCTTCTACCTGGGAACTATGAATACAAGTTTCACAATAAACATAGATTGAACCAGGCATATATACTTAATGAATACAGAACATTAAAAAGTTACAATTGGTTAGAACCAATTTAAACCTGGCATAATGTAGTTATAGTCACTCACATCATGCCTGGTTTATAAGATGCGGACCTATGTTTCTCTGGCAGAGACTTGACAACACAAGGTGCTGGCGACTAGGCGTTACTTTTACGCATCTCTTTTCCTTACTTGCTGAGCTCTCTGGCTAATTGTCTATTACAAAATATATACCAAACATTGTTCCTTGCTTGAAAGGATAAAACAATAAAAAACATTATTGTTATTGGATCATTAACAGTCCTAAAATGAGCCATGGTCACAATACTACAGGATATGTCTGTCTATCTATCTATCTATCTATCTATCTATCTATTATCTGTCTGACTGTACATTTATCTTTCTACCTTTCCTGTAAACACTTTGATAGACTTGTGCATGGCAGAAAAATTTGGTTCAGCTGGATCACTTTATCCAAAAATAAAATTTACTTTGAGTAGCCCAGTAGTCATTCATGTGGTGATTCGGCTCATCCAAGTGCAAAGTGATTAGGAAAACAATATATAAAAAAAGGAAAAAAAAGAAAAGGAAATAGGCCAATCAATGTACTAAAAAATATATACATAGTATAATATATATTTTGCAGGACACAACTAGATGTATTTTCCATGTGGTTTACACATCAAATGAGAAAAAGTAACCAATCTTTCTGTATGTATGTATATTACATAAATATAGATGGAGATTTTTTTTAACTGCTCCAACTTTTTCCCATCTATTGGTCACTTTTCCTCACTTTTCTCTTTATCTATGAAAAAAATCACGAGTTACTGATTGTCCTCTAACCACCAATCATCTCTTTTCCCATCAACAATCTCATTTGTTGTTCTTCGTCCATAAGGCACTTCTGATAACCAGCCAATCAGCCTAAATTCTGACGAATTGCAATTCTGTCAAAAAAAAGAGTGTACAAGCCTACTCGTTAACATTCCTGCTACAAAATAAATCATAGATATGTCATAACATCCCTATTATATAACTGTAAGCATGCAAATACATGTCATT